CTATAGGCGTCAATATGCTGGCAAGGTATTAGGCTGCACAGTGGCTAATTGTGTATAGCATTGCAATCGTAGGAAGGAAGAGGCAAATGGGCCACATAGTGTGACCAGGGGGGTTCAAATGGTCCAGCCAAGCACCTACGCCGCTTGCAGATGAATGGGCTCCAAGGCAAGAGTGCCGATTGTGACCCTATTTGACCTTTGAACTGCGCGCATTGTAGGGGCAGTGCTTTTCTGACTGCACTACATCCACTTTGCACCTATAGCGACCTCCAACCGTTCAACTGCGACTGTATTCCTGCTATTAATCAGGCTATGTCTTGACTAGTGAAAAAAATTCAGAACGGGTCCGTTAAAATATAGGAAAATCCTCACCAAGACGATCATTTCGATCAAGATTTTCCAATGGTTGGAAGGAGACTAGCTCGTAAGCATCTTCTCACATGAGCTGAGACCTTTAGAAGCTCCGCGTTCAAGTCGACAACCATCTGAAATCGAATAAAATAAATTCGAAACTTGGAACAGGATTCAGTAGTCCCTATTATATGGATCTACCTGTGGTGCTTCATATTGTATCATGTTCAAGATCGAAAAATTCAGTTCACTGTAGCGATGTCAGTTCGAAGAAGACGGACTAATACACCTTGTTTCACTACTTCACGGCATAAACGTGGGCTAAGATCTGGAGATGAAGGAAAGCTGACGCTGAAGTTTTGATCCCAATTCTTAAAATATGAGCTTTGTAAGGGCGAAACGCAAATAATAAGCAAGAGTTAGGTGGGGGACGGCGAACGCAGCTGGGGTGACCACTTGGCACAGTGACATTTCCCCAACCAAGTTGAAAGTCAGGCTGGGGTTTTATGTCTTCTGCTGGCGGATGGAGAAGTAGTTGCTTAAGCACGGGCCCGATTCGGAGGTATGTCTCGGAATTACCAGCGGGCTCAGTTCGAAGGATCAATCCGTCGAAGCGGTCGCTCGATAACCAACTGAGCCTTTATCTTGCGCGGGAATGTGAAAGTTTACCAGATCCGTCTGGGAGGATGGTACACTGAACTGTACATCCCTGTTCCCCGCGTATAGTATAGGCATATAATTTTCAGAATACACTTGATCTTAGCTTAGTTGAAAAGAGATACGTACAGGCAAAAAGGATGAATCACGGTGCAAGATATTGCTATCCTGTACGCCTTTTTATTTTCTCTGCAATGCTGTCTGCCTGTCACTACTAGGGCATCTGCGTGCGCGAGCATACCCTGATAGGAGAAGGGACATTAGAGTACGCGAATGGCCCGCCTCCCACGACCCCACCACACTCCCCTACATCACTATCAAGTTCGCCAACAAACAACGGCGACACTGCCTACCGTAACCATTTCTATCAGGTGACAACTTAGTTGACTGAGCCTCAACAAATCCGCGATCAGCAAATCAATCGGTCTATTGACGAATATACATACAGTCCTGAATTGGCCAAGTATCAGCGAGCCAAATTTTATCACGAGCAAAGCGCCTGAGATAAAAGAGCTTACATAGCTGCAAGTCGAATTAGCCCTCTCAGAACCACCTCATAGGATTTCCGAGCAAATGTACATAGCACAGAGTCACGGATACAACGGATAGTGTAACAGTGGGCTGTGATGAATACAACAGTTCGGCCAAGTCGTGTGAGATGCTGCGCAATGTTTTCAGTCAGACGAAATTCAGCCCTTAGCATTGGCAAGGATGAGACGCTTCCTACCTCACTAGGATTTTGGACTGGAGGATTGCTTGGCAGCACGAATGATAACGGTCCGAGAAATATCGTGTGACTTCAATCACATTGATAGACATGCCTCCAAAATAATTGATTCCTTCTTGGAATCGTTGAGAATCTCGAATATGTGGACTCTAAAACCATTCTGTAGATATCGTTCGGAAAGAATTTGAGAAGTGCTGTTTGTGTAATGTCTATGACTTTCAGTGCCGTCTTCTGAGGCTGCAGTTAAAACACGCATTCTTCTATGAATCAACCATTTTGGAGCCTTCTTCCTTCTTGCTAGTGAAGGATAATGTTCCAACACCTTCAGGCCCCTACTATTTGGCTTGAAAGACCCAGTCTAGACAAGAATCTCTACTGAAGAGCCCCACTTCTGACAAAGAAGCGCTTACAAAAGGGCAAAAGAACGAGCGACATCGTTCAACCCATCGACCCTCATACAGAATTGTAAATTGGAACTAAACGCCCTTTTTGAATCACACTCACCCCCCCCCGTCTCGCCTCTGAATCTCATTGGTAGAAGATTCTATAAAGGACTATAGCTATAAACATGGCATGAAAACAAATAAATTACGCTGGAGCGCTCGCAGTTCGAAGACACTCTGCTGTTTCAAAGGTACAGTTGATTTCGCCGCAACCAGTCGGGGCGGTTTCAAGAAGGACGAAGTAAGCCGTGCCGTTTCTACCGCTGGTTATTTTCTTCCTAAATCAATTGCTAGCCGATCACCACTGGTAGAGCTAAGCAGCCAGATGCGGGGCTATTCCGCCATTCCTGACATTGCCCCGAATGACGGCCATCTTATCAACTGTAGAATCCCTGCCGAGTTGATGAAAAGCAGATTCGCAGTTCTAGATGCTTAGCCACATTCAAGCGCGCGTGGTAAGAGCGCCAGAATCTCGCGATGGCTAGGAAACCACGCCCATGCCAGGTATACACCCCCATGGACAACGACTAATGCGTGACTTCGCGAACAATTCACTCGGCAGTGTTGTGTAAACAGCTTTGTGGCCCTTGCTTGTGACTGCTTAGTTTTCTGCCCATACAGAGGTCTATTCACGGAATGTTCCTCCTAAGCTGACAGCTAACCTGAACTCATTTAGAACGTTTCATAGGCTTTCCCTGATCTCTTCTTCAGTGATAAGTCAATTGGTGAATAGAAATCTACGTTTAGGCCCTATTTCCCCATGAGCTTCTGTTTTATGCTCTCAGAACGTTTGACTTACGCGCTTCAAAGGGACGATTCTGAAGCACACGGTACTTGAGCACTTTGTCAATCCGAACAATTGGCATTAATCCGTAGAGAACGTTATCTACCTCAACATATCCTTGACTTCTTCCACAGCAGCAGTGATAACTTCCAGAAGTTTGTCGCCCTCTGGATGACCGTCTTTCGCACCCGTAATAGAAAGTTGGAGAGAGACTATCCTGAGACAATCAAGGTAGACAGTAGATCGTCACAGGTAGCACCTTGCATACACACCTGTTACCGCTCGCAGTTCCACGAAGTAGCCATCCAACTCCGCCCCTCCGCTAATGTCGCCATACGCACCATTTTCAATTTCTGAATGTTCTCGCAAGCAGACTACGCCATTCTGACAAAAAACGCGGCTACGGTCTTTCAAAATTAATGACAGCAAGCCTTAACTCTTCTACGTGCCTATGATAGTTTCACCTTAGTTAACTTTGACCCCCCATAAAGTCAGCTCTTCGAACACAACAGGACGATAGCCTCTTTCTGCAACAACACAACTCCCGAACTCAACTCCGATTGAAACGATACAATGCTCTGAATCACCCCCCCGTCTTTGGGTCCCGAAAAGCAGAACTTTGACTTGCAAGCTCGCTAAAACTACTCCGGCTTCGATCGGCATCCGGTCCCTCATTGAAGCTGCAGAAGTCCTTTTCCTACCGCTATGACTTTCCGACTCCTCTGAACGTAGTACGTCGGATGCGAGAAGCTCAGCATATTGTCGACTTATCATTTCCCACTTCCCACGAGGGTCTCAGCGCGCCTCCCCACCCACGATCGACACTTCGTCAATGCGAACTGAAAAGCGTCCGTAACTATACCACGTCACGTTACTGAATAAAACATAGCTCGCTTCTTCGTGGACATCAGCGATTGCCTATGTCCGGTTGAGAGCAGGGGTGATGTCATTGGCCAATCGCAGGAACTGAGAAAAAATCCAGATGATGTTCGCTTGGCAGGGAGTTCTTGGAGAAGCTGATAAGAATTCTGTAATAGAATCTTTACTCTGCCACTGTACCATCGAGTCTTCCATTACCCGCACCCCCGCTTGTAGCTCACAGATGCGGGACTAGTCATGACGCATGGCGGTAGACAGCTTACGATCAGCGAAGACGAGAAACATGTCGAGTCATGGTCAATATGTGAATACAAAAAGCATGAAAGACAATGGTTTCTAATTATTCTACCGTACAACTAGCAACTCTTCTACCCCCGCTATCAACAAGCAATGCTGCGGCCACTCCTACTCCGTCGCCGAGATTTTGGACTACTACAACACCATGTTCTAAATACACCCACCTCATGATCCCTGGAAACAACATGTAAGTGTGCAGAGGAGTGGGACACTTCGACCTACGCCCAATCGGCCCGTCACACTATTCTTATCAATGGTCCACCTCTCCCTGAGAACTCTTTACAAATGGAGGAAACGGCTGTTCTGGCTGCAATCCAGCTCACGCCCCTTCACACGCCCTATCGTTTGTAGGGACCATATGTACAGCAGCGCTTGAAGAGGCTGTTCTCAATAGTAAACATTATGAATCGAGGTATTAGCACAAGCCCGCCTACAGCGATCTACCGCTGCGCATTGCTGCTCAAACCCCAGTACAAACTTCTCATCTATCCCGGTTATGTGCTGCCCTCTTTCAGGTTTAGGTGAGAAATGAACGGACAGAACAAATCAATGAAAGGTACAGCGATGAATATGGGCAATGAACATTAGATAGGGTGAGGTTCAGGAGATCCACGATACGGCGATGAGGTATTGCAAATGATATCGCACGGACGGCATACATATCATGACCCTATCAATTTTACGCGGAATTACTATGGTATGTCTAGTCAACTGGCGAGAAAATACTCTGGTACTCTCTTGCATCATCACAAAATAAATATTGAAAATGACCCGATAGATTAAGGTCTAAAGGTAACTCACTACGCAATAGATCGTCTAACGTCGGCAAAAAAAAATCAAAATTAACCCACAATCATGTGCTTTACACACCACTGATTCGCATACCGGAGGACATACCTACCTGAAATTTTTGTAGCGAGAACTTCTTGAGGCTCTCAACGAGGCAGTCGTCTGGAAGTCGGTATGTGGCCACTAGCACGAAGTAATACAGCTGTTCATCGAACTCTCGCAGTGTATCTAAATGCAGACGTCGAGGTGAATTCATAAATGAATAGCAGTGAGGAAATATTATTATAGCAACCTAGCTAACCCAGAACATCATTTACATCTTCTGCAAGATCTTCCATGTTGAAATGGGAGAGTCGAATGAGGAGATTTGCGTGAAGGAAATCAGGGCTTACCTAAATTAATTCGTTATAGACAGTCATAAGTAAGCTGATTGCCATTTAAAGACATGTTCTGTGATACTCTGATGGACAGAACACCTCTACCGCATATGCTGAGCAAGCTCGTAGTGTGTCAATTTGCCTTTTGAATGCACGCTGAGAAGCATAAAGGCTTGTGCTCAACTCCTACCGCAACTTTGTCAGTCTGCCTCCACACACAGTGTGTAGACATCTCTCTTCATTGCTAGTACCACAGTGCCGCCCATGGCAGCCTGTTCTTTCGCTCACGCTTAGCATCTCTACGTCTCTATTCAGTACATGCTAGTCCACTTCTATTAGGTTCTTCGAAAAGTAATGCGACACTTTGACCAAATTTTTCGGACTAAATTTTCCGTCACTAAAAGACGTTCCAACTAAATTTTCCGTCACTAAAAGGCATCTCCAGTCTACAAGGTAACCGCAGTTGATGACTAGGACTAGTGCCCTTCTTTTGCA